AAGAATAATTCAGGGAAATTTTCTGCAATTGAAATACAGAACGTTTTAGATTGAAAGGGACTGCCGAGTCACTAACATATTGAGGGAAAAGGTAATCTGCATTAATATGCATAATTGTGAAATTTCAGAATGTGCAGCAAAACACTAACCCTAAACATTCCCACGATACTGGGTCTCACGCCAGGGGTCCGGAATTAAAATTGTGTGCTCTATCAGCAGCACTGGATGCTGACAAGGAGGAGTCACCTTCAAACTGTGGAGTGCAAACTATTGCCAACTATTTATATACCTGGCCACGCCATCAGTTACATGGGGGTAGAATAAAGATGTTTTCAGACGTGGAAGGTCTCAGAAAGAGACTTTCTCGTGTGAGTGATTTATAGGAATTGAGAAGGGTTGGTTATGGTACAGCAGGTTGAGCCACTGCCTGCAGTGCCAGCATCCCACACGAGTGCTGGTTTGAGGGTGAACCAGTGGCTGAGAAATCTGCCTCTTTCTCTCTGTCTCTCCCCTTCTCTCTCCCTCTAATTCTTTCTTTCAAATAAATAAATCTTATAAAAAGCAAAAAAGCAGCTAAGAAAAAGAATGACAGAAACTCTAGGAATTTGAATCTAATTCCAAAGATGGTAAAAAAGAAGCCTAGCGTGAGAGGTCCCAGAACAACACCTTGTGTCAGCAGTGCAGTCAGTCCAGCAGAAGGTCGCAGTGCTCCAGGAGAAAGCAAAAGAACTGTGGAGATCCTGAGTTAGTTGAACCTACTATGAGGATATTTAGATTATTCTGGGACAGATTGGGGCTGAATTAGTGGTGTTTTTTGTTTGTTTGTTTGTTTTAAAGATTTATTTGAAAGAGTTACACAGAGAGAGGAGAGGCAGAGAGAGAGAGAGAGGTATCTTCCATCCACTGGTTCACTCCCCAATTGGCTGCAATGGCCGGAGCTGTGCCTATCTGAAGCCAGGAGCCAGGAGCTTCATTTGGGTCTTCCCATGTAGGTGCAGGGGCCTAAGGACTTGGGCCATCTTCTACTGCTTTCCCAGGCCATAGCAGAGAACTGGTTCTGAAGTGGAGCAGCTGGGCCTTGAACCAGTGTCAATATGGGATGACAGCATTGCAGGCGGCTGCTTCACCCGCTGTGCGACCAGCGCTGGCCCGAATTAGTGTTTAATTATAGAAAATTAAGCGGGGCCGGTGCCGTGGCACAGTAGGTTAATCCATATGGGCTCCGGTTGTAGTCCTGGCTGCTCCTCTTCCAAACCAGCTTTCTGCTATGGCCTGGGAAAGCAGTAGAAGATGGCCCAAGTCCTTGGGCCCCTGCACTCACATGGGAGACCCAGAAGAAGCTCCTGGCTCCTGGCTTTGAATCCGTGCAGCTCCGGCCATTGTGGCCAGTTGGGGAGTGAACCCATCGGATGGAAGAACTCTGTCTCTGTCTCTGCCTCTCACTGTCTGTAACTCTACCTGTCTAATAAATAAATAAATAAAATCTTAAAAAAGAAAATTAAGCTTGGGAATAACCAAGCAATTCAGTCCAAGAAAAACTCATTTTTGGCAGGGGGAAAAGTTGTATTTCATGTCTCAGCTAAGAATGTTTATATAGGGATGGTAAACTGAACATTGAATATTGTTCTATGCAAAATGACGATTAAGGGGCTGACACTGTGGTGTAGGTGGTTAAGCTATTGCCTGCATTGCCAGCATCCCATATGGCACCAATTCGAGTCCAGCTACTCCAGTTTCAATCTACACTTGATCTTAGACAAAAGGCCAAGAAGCGATCCACTTCTGATCAACTCCCTGCTAATGTGGCTGGGAGAGCAACAAAAGATGGTCTAAGTTCTTGGGCCCCTACACCCATATGGGAAACCCTGATGAAGCTCCTGGCTTCTGACTTCTGATCAGCCCAGCTCTGGCCATTGCAGCCATTTGGGGAGTGAACCAGCAGACGGAAGACCTCTTTCTGCCTCTGCCTCTCCCTTTCTGTAGCTCTGCCTTTCAAATAAGTAAATAAATAAATAAATCTTTTTTTTAAAGAATGATGATTAATTATGGAAAGGATGGAGAATGACATTTAGTCATACACATTTACACTTTGAGTTTAAGAGGGTTGAAAGAAAACTAAATTATCATCTTCGATAGTTGAAAGTTCATAGCTCATATATATATACAGAGAACCATGAGGTAGCAGTTAGAAGCTTAAGTATTATTATCAAACAGTTGAAGGTTTTGAAAGTGCGTCTGGGGGGCTGGAATGAAGTCAGGGAGGCTATACAGGAGTCTTCCATGTATTTTTATTTATTTGAGAAACTGAAACACAAACAGAGCGTCTGTTGGCCCACTTCCCTCAAAGCTGCAATGGCCAGCACTGAGCCCAGGACTAGCACCAGTTCTTCCACATGAGTGGGTTACAAGTTCTGAGATCTTTTAATTCTTTAAACTATGCCTTGAAGCTGCTGGGTAACTACTGTATGTAAGAGATTCTCTTCTGTCCTTGTAAACTATCATCTTTGGTAAAGATTAATTCTCACCCAGAATCTCAGTTGAGAGAAAATGCTTATTATTTAATCTTAATGAAAACAAGAACTGAATTTTGGGCTGTTAGATGACCTTGAGACATACTTTGGAATTTATTTGAAGTGTTGGTATTCTTAGCTCTCCTCAAAATCAGTGTGTCAAGACAATTACTAATTTCGGGGCTGGTGTTGTGGTGCCACAGGTTAAGTTGCCACTTGCAGCACCAGCAACCTAACTCCAAGTGCTTGGGATCAAGTCCGGGTTGCTCTTCTTTCAATCCAGCTTCCTGCTAGTGTTCCTGGGAAGACAGCAGATGATGACCCAATTACTTGGGTCTGTGCCACCCATGTGGGAAACCTGGGTGGAGTTCCCAACTCCTGGCTTTAGCTTGGCCTGGCCCTGGCTGTTGGAGGCTTTTGGGGAATGAACTAGTAGATAGAAGATCCATCTCTCTCACTCACTCTGTCTGTCTTCTGTCTGTCTCTGTCTCCATCTCTCCCTCTCTAATGCTCTGCCTTTCAAATAAATAAATCTTTCAAAAAAAGGGACCATTACTAATTAACTAAATAGCTCTAGTTCTGAGGCTGGTGCTGTAGTGTAGTGTGTTAAACTGCCACCTACAGTGCCAGCATCCCATATGAGCACTGCTTTGATACCCAGCTGTTCCACTTTTTTTTTTTTTTTTAAGATTTTTATATATTTATTTGAAAGGCAGAGTTACAGAGAGGCAGAGAGAGAGAGAGAGAGAGAGGGAGGGAGGTCGGTCTTCCATCTTCTGGTTCAATCCCCAAATGACCGCAATGGCCAGAATTGGGCTGATCAGGAGCCAGGAGCTTCTTCTGGGTCTCCCATGCAGGTGCAGGGGCTGAAGGACTTGGGCCATGTTCTACTGCTTTCCCAGGCCACAGCAGAGCTGGATCAGAAGTGGAACAGCTGGGACTCAAACTGGCACCCACATGGAATGACAGCACTGCAGGCGGTGGCTTTACCCACTACTCCACAGCGCCAGCCCACTATTGCACTTCTGATTCAGCTCTCTGCTAATGTGCCTGGGAAAGCAATGGAAGATGGCTCAAGTGCTTGGGCCCCTGCACCCACATGGGAGACCTGAAAGAAGTTCCTGGCTCCTGGCTTCAGTCTGGCCCAGCACTGGCTGTTGTGGTTATTTGGGGAATGAACCAGTGGACAGAAGATCTCTCTTTCTTTAAGATTTATTTATTTGAGAGGCAGAGATACAGAAAGAAGGAAAGAGATCTTCAGGGTGCTGATTCATTCCCCAAATGGCCACAGTGGATATGTCTGGGCCTGTCTGGAGTCAGGAGCTAGGGTCCAGGAGCGTTTTCTCGTTCTCCAGAGTAGGTGTGGGGGTCCAAGCACTTGGGCCATCTTCCACTGCTTTCCTAGGCCACTGCAGAGAGCTGGATGGGAGGTGGAATAGCCAGGATTTGAACCAGTTGCCCATATAGAATGGCAGCACTGCAGGCAGAGGCTTAACCTATGCCACGTTGCTGGCCCCAATAAATAAATCTCCAAGAATAAAACAAGCTCTAGTTCTGTCTCTCTCTGTGTGTGTGTCTCTCTCATTCTGCCATTTAAATAAATAAATCAGCCTTGTTTTTAAAGAAAAATGACAGGGGCTGGCATTGTGGTGCAGTAAGTTAAGCCACTACTTTTTATACTGGCATGATGTGTCTGAGTGCCAGTTTGAGTCCTGGCTGCTCCACCACAACCCAGCTTCCTGCTAATATGCCTGGGAAAGAAGTAGTTGGCTCAAGTACTTGGGCTTTTGCCTCCAGCTGGGAAGACATGTGTAGAGTTCCTGGGTCCCGGTTTTGGCTTGTCCCAATCTTTGCTCTTCGGGCCATTTAGAGAGTGAAACAGCGAATAGAAGATGTCTCTGTCTTTCTCCTTGTCTCTGTCTCTCCCTCTCTGATGCTCTGCCTTTCAAATAAGTAAATAAATCTTTTAAAAAAACAATTACTAATTTAAATGATTCTAATTGTTTAAATTTGTTGAATTATTATAATGAGTGAATTCTTTTAAGATTGCTTCTTGAACTTTGTTTTTCAGATTTTGCTATGGCTGTCAGGGGGAATTGAAAGACCAACATGTAAGTTCATTGACTTTCTAAATGTTGAGTAATATGGTAGTACAATAAATTTTCCACAGGTTGTTGAATACCAGCCTGACATCAGGTTTTTCCTCATGAATATAATTACAAGAGGTAGAGGTAAAGTGGGAGCAAAATAATTTAATCATCAATAGTTTTATCATGCTACATTCTAAAATATAAAATATAAATTCTATAAATATATTTTTGTTCTTTATCTTCATTTTCAGGGTAAACTGTATTATTTTGGAAGTACATAAAATTTGTCTTCATATTATATTTTAGGCTCTGTCATAACTCATTTTGAGTGGCCATTTCAGGTGGCCACACGTTGGTGATTCCCCTATTGTACCAATGAGAAAATGTTACAATTTTGGAGAAGGTCAGTTTGAATATATAAACTTGTATAGGGGCTGGGGCGCAGCTGATTAAGTGGCCGTTTAACGATGTTAGCATCTCATATCAGAGTGTCAGTTTGAGTCCCATTCGTTCCATTTCTTTCTTTCTTTTTTTAAAAGATTATTTATTTATTTGGGAAAGTTACAGAGAGAGAGGGAGAGACAGATACAGAGATAGACAGAGAGATCTTCCATCTGTTGGTTGACTCCCCAGATGGTCGCAATGGCCAGCGCTGGTCAAGACTGAAGCCAGGAGCCTCCTCCAGGTCTCCCAAGGGTAGCAGGGGCCCAAACACCTGGGTCATCTTCCACTGTTTTTCCCAGGCCATTAGCAGAGAGCTAGACTGGAAGTGAAACAGCTGGGACACGAACCAGTGCCCATGTGGGATGCCAGCATCACAGGCGGTGCCTTCATCCACTACACCATGATGCTGACCCCACAGCTGCACTTCTTTTTTAAGATTCATTTATAGGGCTGGCACTGTGGTGCAGCAGGTTAACGCCCTGGCTTGAAGTGCTGGCATCCCATATGGGCACCGGTTCTAGTCCCGGCTGCTCTACTCTGATCCAGCTCTCTGCTGTGGCCTGGGAAAGCAGTAGAAGATGGCCCAGGTCCTTGGGCCCCTGCACCTGCGTGGGAGACCGGAGGAGGCTCCTGGCTCTTGGCTTTGGATAGGCTCATCTCTGGCCATTGCGACCAATTGGGGAGTGAACCATCAGATGGAAGACTCTCTCTACCTCTCCTCTCTCTGTGTAACTCTGCCTTTCAAATAAATAAACCTTTAAAAATATTCATTTATTTATTTGAAAGGCAGAGTTACAGAGTGGCAGAGGCAGAGAGGGAGAGGTATTCCATTCGATGGTTCACTCCTCAAATAGCCATAACTGCAGGAGCTGACCCAATCCAAAGCCAGGACCCAGGAGCTTCTTCTGAGCCTCCCACCAGGGTGCAGGGGCCCAAGCACTTGGGCCATCTTTTACTGCTTTCCCAGGCCACACAGGAAGCTGGATCAGAAGTGTAGCAGCTAAGACTTGAACCAGCACTCATATGGGATGCTGGCCTTGCAGTTGTTTGCTTTACCTGCTACACCATAGCACCACCTCCTGCCCTATAAATTTTATCTGAAAGCACCAGTGCCCTTGTTTGTAATGCTGATAAAAAATGTTTTTTTTTTTTTTAGTTGTCTTAATATGTGTCATTTGACAGATTCTTTCAAGTTTTGATTGAAAGAAAAATATCAGTTTTCCAGTTGTGAAGTCCTTCCCTACGAGGGATTATGTGTGTTAAATTTTGGTGCTTTTCTTTCTCTCTCATTTTTTTTAAAGATTTGTTTATTTGGCCAGCGCCACGGCTCACTAGGCTAATCCTCTGCCTGTGGTGCCAGCACTCCGGGTTCTAGTCCTGGTTGGGGTGCCAGGTACTAGTCCTGGTTGCTCCTCTTCCAGTCCAGCTCTCTGCTGTGGCCCGGGAAGGCAGTGGAGGATGGCCCAAGTGCTTTGGCCCTGCACCCGCATAGGAGACCAGGAGGAAGCACCTGGCTCCTGGCTTCGGATTGGCACAGTGCGCTGGCCATAGCAGCCATTTGGGGAATGAACCAATGGAAAAGGAAGACCTTTTTTTTTCTCTCTCTCTCTCTCACTGTCTAACTCTGCCTGTTTAAAAAAAAAAAAAAAAAGATTTGTTTATTTATTTGTTTGAAAAAGCAGAGCCACACAGAGAGAGGGAGAAACACAGAGAAATACTGATAGCTCTTCAGTCGTATGGTTCATTCTTCAAATGACTGCAATGGCCAAGACAGGACACCCTAAAGCTATGAGACAGGAGCTCTGTTCAGATCTTCCAGGTGGGTACAAGGGCCCAGGTACTTGGGCCGTGTTCCACTGCCTTCCTAGCACATTATCAGGGAGCTGGATCAGAACGTAGCCCGCTGTACCACAATGCCAGCCCCTGTGCTTCTGGTTCTAATTGAACCTGCTGGGGGACACTCAAAATCAGAGGTGGGGACCATCTGGCCTGCAGGCTGGATAAGGCCCATGACATCATTTGGTTTCACCCTGTTAAGCATCCACAGCAAGAACTTGGAAATTCAGTAATGTAGAGTAGACTACCTTTCTGTTGTTTTTAAGATTTATTTATTTATTTGGAAGGCAGAGTTACAGAGAGGCAGAGACAGAGACATCTTCCATCCGCTGGGTCACTCCCCAAATGGCCACAATGGCTGCAATGGCTGGAGCTGGGCTGATTTGAAGTCAGGAGCCAAGAGATTCTTCCAGGTTTCACATACGGGTGCAGGGGTCCAAGGACTTGGGCCATCTTCTACTGCTTTCCCAGGCCACAGCAGAGAGCTGGATTGGAAGTGGAGCAGCCGGGTCTTAAACTGGCACCCATATGGGATGTTGATGCTGCAGGTGGCGGCTTTACCTGCTGCGCTACAGTGCAGGCCCCAACTAATTTTTTCTTTATTTTTATTTTATTTATTTGAAAGGCAGAGTTACAGAGGGACAGAGAGAGAGAGAGAGAGAGAGATCTTCCATCCTCTGGTTCTTTCCCCAAATGGCCACAACAGCCTGGCCTGGGCCAGGGCCAAAGCCAGGAGCCAGAACTTCAGCCAGCCAGGTCTCCCACCCGAGTGCAGGGACCCAAACACTTGGGCCATCTTCTGCTGCTTTCCCGGATGAATTAGCAGGGAGCTGAATCAGAAGCAGAGCATCTGGGATTCAAACTTATGTCCATATGGTTTGCTGCCATTGCAGAATGCTGCCTAACCCACTACACTACAATGCCAGCCCCAAGTAGACTAATGTTTAAGTTGATAAGTTTGTGTGGACCTTGGCAGAAAAAAGGTTCCCCAGCATTGCAAAGGAACACTGATTTCAAAGTCGTTGAGAGTGTGCTATGATAGTATAGACTATAAGGAACCAAAACAGCCATTGCCTCATGTTTTTTGTTTTGAGATTTATTTTTTATTTATTTGAAAGACAGAGTTACAGAAGGTGGATGAAAGAGAGCGCGAGATCTTCTGTGCACTGGTTTACTCCCTAAATGGCCACAACAGCTAGGACTGGCCAAGCTGAAGCTAAGAGTCAGGAGCTTCTTTCAGGTCTTCCACGTGGGTGCAGGGGTCCAAGCACTTGGACCATCCTCTGCTGCTTTTCCAGGCACATTAGAAGGGGCTGGATTGGTAGTGGAGCAGCTGGGTCTTGAACTAGTGATCACATAGGGTGGCAGAGTCCCATGCAGAGGCTTCACCTGTCACATCACAATGCCAGCCCTTCATTTCCTCATTTTTAAGGAATAGGTTTGAGGAAAAAAAAGTCTCGTTGGATTTTTTTTTTTTCCTTTTGATTTTGTTTGAAAGACAGAGATGGAGAAATAGAGATCTGCTGGTTCACACCTCAGATGCCCACAACTGCCCACGCTGGCCTAAGTCTAAGCCAGAACCCCAGAACTCAATGGGTTTTCCAGGTGAGTGGGAGTGACCCAAGTACTAAAGCCCCACTTGCCGCCTCCCAGTGTGTCATTAGCAGGAAAGTGGATGGGAAACGGAGTAACTGATACTTGAACCAGGATCTCTGATACAGAATACAGGCATCCCAAGCAGTGACTTTAACTGCTGCACCATAGGCCTACGGCAGTTGCCTTAAATTTGAGAATATATTTTACAATGGAAATGGGTAGGGAAAAACTGATAGGGATATAAAAGAACAAAGCTACTTGGATGTCTGTTAGCTGTGCTGCACTTAACTTTGGGAACCACTCAACTCCTTTTCTTCTTTTCAATGCAGGTCTATGTTTGCTCTGCGTGCCAGAATGTCTTCTGTGTGGACTGTGATGTTTTCGTTCATGACTCTCTCCACTGTTGTCCTGGCTGTATTCATAAACTTCCAGCTCCTTCAGGTATTTGATTCCAGCTTGTAGTATGCATTGTATGTGTTATAAAATCAAAGGTATGAATGTTTAAATGGTTCTTCAGAGGAAGCTTCAATGAAGGCACGAAGAATAAATTGAAAAGAAACATCTTAAGAAAATGTTTGCTTCGAAAATATATTTTATTGAATTTTTTGTCATAGAAATGCCTGGAATTTAGTAGTATTTCATTTAATTAGTTTTTTTTCCATTTAGTCAGAATTTTTCAGTCAATATGCATTATATGTAACTTATTTATAATATTAAGTTGTAATAATTTCATTTTTTGAAATTGAGATTTTGCAATTCATTATAATTCAAAAACTTATTTTGAGAATCAGGCACGTACACATACACACATGAAAAAAGATAGACACAGAGAAGAACGAACTGTCCATTGATTAAGTCCCCAAATGCCCACGATATCTGGGCTGGGCTCAGCCAAAACCTGGAGCTGGGAACTCAATCCAGGTTTGATATGTTGGTGGCAGGAACACAATTACTTGAGCCAGCAGTGCTGCCCCCCAGGTTCTACATTGGCAGAAAACTGGAGTCGGGAGCCAAAGCTGACTGTTAAAACCCAGGTACTGCGATACGGGATGCAGGCATCTTAAGCAGTGTCTTAACTGCTAGGCTAAATGCCTACCCCACAATTTATTTTGATTTGTAAAAAAAAAAGTTAAGTATAAACATAAATCCAATGTAATATGAACATTAGTTAATAGTTATGAAATTAATACATATGAAATGGCATTGCTATATCCACCAGAGGCTTTAAAACATTTGGAATATAATTATAAGATTGGTACAACTGAAATTAATTGTGGCTATGATCTCTTTAGGTTAATCCTGTAAACATAAGTACTGCCATGGCCACACTTGGTGCCAGCAGGGTAGCCCCAGGCGGTTCTCATTAGCCATAGTCCTCCCAGCATAGTTCAGCTGCAAGGAGATGAGATTCTCGGGGACCATCAGAGAACCAGATTGTCTTAGCACAGCTTCCAGGGTCCTCACAGGAGGTGTGTGCATTTCAGTAGCCACCACTCGGGAAGCCTGGAGCATGAAGTTGCCGTCAGGTTATTTATAGCGCGTCTCATCCAGATGTGATTTCTCAGTTAAGAGTCTGTCTTTCTTTCTTTCTTTCTTTCTTTCTTTCTTTCTTTCTTTCATTCATTCATTCATTCATTCATTCATTTGAAAGGCAGAGTTACACAGAGAAGGAGAGGCAGAGAGAGAGAGAGGTCTTCTATCCTCTGGTTCACTCCCTAATTGGCTGCAGTAGCCAGAGCTGCGCTGATCCGAAGCCAGGAGCCAGAAGCTTCTTCCAGGTCTCCCACACAGGTGCAGGGCCCCAAGGACCTGGGCCATCTTCCACTGCTCTCCCAGGCCATGGCAGAGAGCTGGATTGAAAGTGGAGCAGCAGCAATCGAACTGGCGCCCATATGGGATGCCGGAACTGTAGGCGGCAGCTTTACCTGCTGTGCCACAGCACCGGCCCCCAAGAGTCATTTTTCTATAAGCAAAGATGCCACAAGGCTAGTTGATACTCTTGCCTTTATCATTTACCGCAGTAGCAGAACTAGAAAGCTTTGCTAAGGGTGAGATTCAAATGCAGTGAGGGAAAGCATGTTGTCCAACCCTTTCACTCTCATATACTAAGCCTTTTGCTTTAAAGGTTACTTTATAGTGCTCGCTTTGGTAGCACACATACTAAAGGTTACTGCATAATAATTGTTAAAGTATTTTACTTGGTGGGGTATATCTAATACAAACATTTGGTTCTTTGGTATCTGAGGCTGTTTTGCCTTGTAGTTCAGGCTAGAAAGGCCAGAGTTGTGGTGTCTATCCCTGTTAACTATTCTATATCCTACTCAGGGACTGTTTGTCTCTCAACTTTCCCACTCTGAGTCATCAGAGAAACTTAGATGAGAATGTATGATGTAGTCTATGTTTTAGATTCAAAGTAAATACATAATATCATTATGAGTAAAATTCTTCCCAGATGTACTCTGTTGGGAGTGAATCCACCTTCCATAGAAAAGTCTGTTAAAGGGGCTGGCGTCTACAACACCAGCTTCCCATATGGACACCAGTTTCGGTCTTGGCTGCTCCACTTCTGATCCAGCTCCCTGCTAATGTGCCTGGGAAAGCAGTGGAGGATGGCTCAAGTGCTTGGGCCTTGCACCCACAAGGAAGACTCTGAGGAAACTCCTGGTTCCTTGCTTTGGCCTGGCCCAGCCCCACTTATTGCAGCTATTTGGGAGGTGAATCGGTGGATGGAAGATCTCTCTTTCTGTCTCTCTCATTCCCCTTTCAAATAATTAAATTTTTTTAAAAAGAAAAGAAAAAGAAACAAAAGTATATTATTATATATACAAATTTTAGTAACTCTAAATTGAGTTTCAATATGAAATATTTTATTTTAGGTATTCTTACTAAGGAACATGATCAGTAAAGATACTGTAATTCTACCTTGAAGAGTATATTCAGTTTATTTTTGGTAGAGCCCAGAAGTTTGCATTTTCAACAAGTGTTCACACACACACACACACACACACACAGATACATGACCAAACAGGTGTTTTTCTTGGAGTTATGCTCCTTGAGCCTGGACCTAGTGGTTTGTTATATGGAAACAAATTTCAGCCATAGGTACCCTGAAAACAGCTGTCTTCCTTCTGTTTATCAACAGAGATATCAGTGGCTTGCAGGAGATAGCTGTAACAGAGTCAAGAGTTTTCTTTCTCAACCCTACCTGGCTTAGAAAGAAGACCTTGAATAGTTACCTCTTGAAAAATTACCAGAACTATTATTAAAGACTCATTTTCCCAACGTAATATAGTTCACAGCTTTATCTCTTTATCGTTTTATCTCTTTATAGTTTTATTTGCATATTTGATCATGCTTAAGGAAGAATTATTTTTTTCACAATAATTGAGAAAATTTTGTTTAAGATTGCAGAAATAATGTAAGACAGTTGTGGCCTCTTAATTTCCTTCTTGGAATACCACAATACGCTGTATTAGTGAAAACTGTGTAACATTAGAGATCTTTCTGAATCATGTGTCTGAGTTCCATGTTCAGTTAATTAATACTTAAAATCCATTATGAAAATTAGGCTTTAAATACTTTCAAATGTATATATCTTTACTTAATGTTTTTATTTGGTGTGACAGTCTTTGTCTTAACTGAAGCATTTAGTCCATTTATATTTAGTATGTAAATTAAGTTTATTTAATAAAGGTAAATATATGTATTATTTATGTATGAAAAATATACTCATATTTTACCACTTGTATATTTACATCTGTCATCTTTGTGCTGTTGGCTTCAATTATTTCATCTTTCCTTTTCTTTCTTGTCTTCTTGTGAATTGATTATTCTCTTTCTTCATCTGTTTTTCTTCATTGGTTCCCTTAAAAATTAAAACAGAAAGACCTTCTTGTTTTGGGTCCTATAACATAGAACCTGAGGCAAAGAAGCAAGTATTTTTACTTTATTTGGGTGGTTCAGACCTGGGAAGGTGAGAGTGAGGAAGAAAAGGGCAAGCAAGGCAAGGAACAACATGATGCGTTGTGTTTTCACAGTGGCCAGCTTCGTGACAGGCTATGAAGAGATATTGGAGTCTTTCAGCAAGTGAGTGTGAGACTTCTCTAGAAAGTCTGTGAGGAGACACTGCCCCTCCATGCGTTCCCTCAAGGGGAGGGAGGAAAGATAACTTGTTTCCTAGCATCTCCTGTAGCCCATTCCCCTTGGTCACAGTTTGCCCGTTTCTCTCAGTACTTCACTGGCTGCTCAGGGAGCCAGCACAATGGCACTAGCAAATCTGGTCAGATGGGCCTGGTGCCACCACCTCAGGAGACTGGACACAAGGCAGCAGCAAAGCAGAGTCAAAAGCAGACTACACCTTTGGAAAGGAGGGAGGCAGTCCAGGGAATCTGAGGATGCATGAGAAAGTGTTGTCCAGAATGCATCCATAGCTTATCCAAAGCTAAAGTTACTGTGTAACTTTGTAATCGCTCCACTGACAACACAAGGACTCAAAACACCTTAATTCCATTTATTACTGTCTTCATATAAATGTTATTACTGTCGTATATTTAATTTTTATAGGATTAATACTTGTTATAAGCAGCCCACATTTATTTATTTATTTATTTATTTATTTATTTTTTTGACAGGCAGAGTGGATAGTGAGAGAAAGAGACAGAGAGAAAAGTCTTCCTTTTGCCGTTGGTTCACCCTCCAATGGCCGCCGTGGCCAGCACGCTGCGGCCGGCACACCGTGGCCGGCATACCGCGCTGATCCGATGGCAGGAGCCAGGTGCTTCTCCTGGTCTCATATGGGGTGCAGGGCCCAAGCACTTGGGCCATCCTCCACTGCACTCCCGGGCCACAGCAGAGAGCTGGCCTGGAAGAGGGGCAACCGGGACAGAATCCGGCGCCCCGACCAGGACTAGGCAGCCCATATTTATTAATTAAGATTAATCTTAATCTTAAGATTTAGTCTTTTTTTTATTTTTTAAATTTTTTTATTTTTTGACAGGCAGAGTGGACAGTAAGAGAGACAGACAGAGAGAAAGGTCTTCCTTTGCCGTTGGTTCACCCTCCAATGGCCTCTGCGGCCGGCGCACCGCGCTGATCCGATGGCAGGAGCCAGGAGCCAGGTGCTTTTCCTGGTCTCCCATGCGGGTGCAGGGCCCAAGCACTTGGGCCATCCTCCACTGCACTCCCTGGCCACAGCAGAGGGCTGGCCTGGAAGAGGGGCAACCGGGACAGAATCCGGCGCCCCGACCGGGACTAGAACCCGGTGTGCCGGCGCCGCTAGGCGGAGGATTAGCCTAGTGAGCCGCGGCGCCGGCTAAGATTTAGTCTTACGTATTTATCACATTCTTGGCTCTTCATTTCTTCTTGCGTCTCATATCTATTTTTTAAAAATATTTATTTATTTATTCGAAAGTCAGAGTTACACAGAGAGAAGAGAGGCAGAGAGAGAGAGAGAGAGAGAGCGTCTTCCATCCAATGGTTCTCTCCCCAATTGGCTGCAACGGCCAGAACTGTGCTGATCGAAGCCTCTTCCAGGTCTCCCACGCGCGTACAGGGGCCCAAGGACTTGAGCCATCTTCTACTGTTTTCCCAGGCCATAGCAGAGAGCTGGATGGGAAGTAGAGCAGCCAGGTCTTGAACCAGCGTCCATATGGGATGCCTGCGCTTCAGGCCAGGGGGTTAACCTGCTGAGCCACAGTGCCAGCCCCTTTTTGTTTTTGCATCTCATATCTATATTTTTTTTTTTACAGATAGAGTTAGACAGTGAGAGAGAAAGGTCTTCCTTCCGTTGGTTCACCCCCCAAATGGCTGCTATGGCTGGAGCTACACCGATTCGAAGCCAGGAGACAGGTGCCTCCTCCTGGTCTCCCATGCGGGCACAGGAGCCCAAATACCCAGGCCATCTTCACTGCCCTCCTGGGCCACAGCAGAGAGCTGGACTGGAAGAGGAGCAACTGGGTCTAGAACCCAGTGCCTATATGGGATGCTGGTGCCGCAGGCAGAGGATTAGCCAAGTGAGCCACGGTGCCGGCCCCACATCTCATATCTATTTAAGGACGATTTTCCTTCTGCCTGAAATAGATTTTCAGAAAATAATAACATTTAGAGGATATCATATACTACCCATTATGTAAGAAAGGAGGAAATGTGTGTGTGTGTGTGTGAATAAAAAGAAGTATGAGGGAAACAATAGAGAAAATCAGTAAAACCAGAAGTTGGCTCAATATAATTCTCATATCCGTAGGTAGGTTGGCCAAGCAAGAAAAGCGATGAAGAATGAAACATGAGGTATCAGTACAGACCTTGCAGCTCACATACTCACCCTAAGAAGAAGTTCCATACCCGTTAGCATTCAGTCCCTCTTTAGTTGTTCTTCACGTGCCCTTTCAATTCTGTTATTTTTGTGAGTTTTGTGGTGTGGGTTTTTTACTTTTTTTAAGAAACGAAGCACTATGCCAAAACGGTTCAGCAGGGCTGATGCTGCTCAGCACAGAAGTAGACAAGAAAACTGTAAGGATTCTTCAAGATTTCTCAATGCTTTGCAGCTTCCTCATGTTTGTGGTGATGTCTGTACTCAGCTTTCTGTACCTCTAATAGACTGGCAAATTCCTAACTTGAAATGATTTCATAAGTGGTGAGAGAGAAGGGGTACAACCGGCACTTGGGAAGTGGGTTGATGGAGTCCCAAGGCCTTTAGTGAGTGGCAGAAGTTAGGAGAAAGGGCAAGAAGTTTGAGTCCCTGCAGGAGGCTGTCACACTGGGGCCCCTTTGAGTCTGGTTCTTTTAGGACGGAGGATTCATTATTCTCCTGTCCATTCTGCTCCAGGGAAGGGTATTACAAATGGACTGGGGTCTGCTGGCATCCGTAGGGTACTAAAATCTCACTCTGGCCCGAGCCCTGGGAACAGTATCCAGTTTGTTCATTCATTAATTTATAAATTCACCCAACAAACTTGGACATCTTGTTTAAGTCTGATAGCAGTCTAGACATTAGGGATGTTGACATTGAACAGAGGACATGAACCCTGATCTCATGGATCCTGTGGACCTTCCAGTCTTGAGACTTGTAAAGAAGCCCATGTGCACGTGCTAACAACATGTCGAGTGTTGTGGGAGTGCAAAAGAGCAGCCGTACAAGGAGGTGGATGCAAAGCCATGTCAGGTAGCGCAGGTGTGTGAAAGGAGACCAGGGGAACGCAGCTGGTGCGTCTGGAAAGCACCTGCCCCTCCAGAGCCGCAGGGCTGCTGTGTGCGGGTCGCCGTGGAGGTCGTTTCTACTGTACCTCCATTTGTGCTTCTTGAATGTTGTGCGTGTGTGTTTGTTACCTAGTTCAAAAAACACATTTTCCTCGAGGCAACCATTTCCAGCCCCAGCCCACTTTTCCTTCTGGGCAGGTAGGTGTTCTGGTGCCATATACAGGGAAAGTAAAACACTGGGTTTTTAAAGTGAATTCTCCTAAGCTTTAAAGCTGCCATCTAATTTTTTAAAAACTTACAGGATACATGAAACTGAACAGCTTGCAAACGTTGGCTTGTGCAGTCTCATCTCTGCCCCTCAGCATCAGGACAGTGTTTTGATTTTCAGGTGTTACCGTTCCTGGGATGTACCCTCTTGGGACTAATGCAGCCCATATTTTCAGGTATTAAGAATTGACTCTGCAGGAAGAGGGGTCTTTCAAGAGCTTCTGTAATCAGTGATTCTCGTTGGAGAGCTTGGACTGCTGGTATCGGCGCCATCTGGGAGCTCACTGGAAGTGCGCGTTCTCGGGCTCCATTACAGACCTGTTGAAGCCCCACGGTTATGATGAATGCCCAAGCAGAGGATTTACAGAGGCATGTCGGTTACTTACAGACGGGTCCTGTTGATAGAATTCTACTGAATTAAAAATTCAGGTAGATAAAGAAAACAAGTCCCAAACATGGAATTACTTTCTCACTTTCTAGATTTTCTGTAAACTTAATGTATTTGCATACACATTTAGAGTTTTTAAAATTTCATTGTAATTAACATAACGTGCTCTCATTCTAAGTAATGGCATGCTTTTGGCAAACGTGCAAGTAGATACCCAGGCAGCCATGACCACAGTCAAGAGGCAGGAAGTTTTCCTCACTCCAGAAGGGTTCCCTTGGGTCGTTACCGCCAGGACTTCCAGCACCAGGTAACACTGAGTGTTTTCTGTCATTGTAGACTAGTTTTGTCTGTTACAGGCAATTTCTTAGGAGTTGAATTATATAGTCTGTGTGGCTTCTTTTGAGGTTTATTCATGTTGTTGCATGTGTTACTTCCGATGTTTCATCTGTATAAATACTTTATATATGTTTATCACCAGTGGACACTGAGGTAATTTCTGTTTCTTTTGGTTGTTGAGAATAACGTTACTATGAACATTCTTATATAAGCCTTTGTGAGTTCATGTTTCCATTTTTCTTGGGAAAACATATAGGAATGAAATTGTTAGAATGGTAAGTGCATATTTAACTTTGTATGACTCTGTTGACCTGTTTTTCTAAAGTTGTACCATGGGGCCAGCGCTGTGGTGCAGGGGGTTAAGCCACTGCCTGCAATGGCATATGGGTGCCAGTTCGAGTCCCAGCTGCTCCACGTTGGATTCGGCTCCTTGCTAATGGCATGGGAAAAGCAGTGGAAGGTGGCCCAAGTGCTTGAGGCCCTGCAGGCATGTGAGAGACCCAGAAGAAGCTCCTGGTTCCTGGCTTCAGATCTGCCCAGTAGCTGTTGCGGCCATTTAAGGAGTGAACCATCAGAAAGAAGACCCCTCTCCCTCTCTCTCTGTAACTCCTCCTTTCAAATAAAATAAATAATAAATATTTTTAACTGTACCAAGCATTGTTGGAAACTTCCATCTGCCCCATGTTAGCAACCAACAGGTGGACTGCTCAGTTCAACCGTCACTATTTAGAACACCTCCGTGAACTTCAGAGCAGATGGTGTACAAAATTAACTATTTCTGCACTTCAAAAGATACCGATAAAATAATGAAAAGACAGGCCACAGATTGAAAGAGCACATTTACAATGTAAATATCTAAGGACTGTAACCACAATCTATAAAGAATTCCTGCAATTCAGTAATACAAAGGCGGGAACCCTGTTGTGGCACAGTGGGTTAAGCTGCTGCTTGCAATCTGGTATCCCATTTCTGAGTGCTGGTTTGGGTCCCAATAACCCCACTTCCCACCCAGCTCCCTGCTAATGCTCCCGGGAAGGCAGCAGATGATGGCCCAAGTCCTTGGGGCCCTGCACCCATGTGGCAGACCCAGATGGAGTTCCAAGTTTCTGTCGTCAGCCTGACCCAGCCCTGGCTGTTGTGGTCATTTGGGCACCTGCACCCACAAGGGAAGAAGCACCTGGCACCAGGAAGAAACACCCGGCTCCTGGCTTCGGATCGGCCTAGCTCCCGCTGGAGCGGCCATTTCGGGGGTGAACCAACGGAAGGCTTTCTCTCTGTCTCCCTCACTAACTGTCAAATAAATAAATAATATATGAATGACCAACAAGCAGTTAAAACCACAATGATGAGGGCTGGCATTATGGCATAGCTGGTAAAGCTGCCGTGTGGGATGCCAGCACCTCATAAGGGCTCTGGTTGTGTCCTGTCTGTTCCACTTCAGATCCAACTCCCTTCAGTCCTGCTCTCTGCTAATGCACCTGGGAAAGCAGCATAAGACGGCACAAGTGCTTGTGCCCCTGCACCCACATGGGAGACCCAGATGAAGCTCTTGCCTTCAGCTCGGCACAACTCTGGTCAATGCAATCATTTAGGGAGTGAACCAGTGGATGGAAGGTATCTTTCTCTATATATATCTGTGTGTGTGTGTCTAAATATGCCTTTCAAATAATTAAATCTTTAAAAAAAGTGTAGATTCTAGCAAGACAGTTTCCTCACCTGTAGGGTTGAGATAATATCCAACTTACCTGAACTGTTAAAGGAATTAGATGGACACATGTAAAGCGCTTAGAATTGTGGCTGGCATGGGTGGACGTTTGGTGTACCAGCTGGGATGCCACATCCCATATCAGTGTCTGGGTTTGAATCCCGGCTCTGCTGATTTCAGCTCCCTGCAGGTGCACACCCATGTACTTCAGTCCCTACTATCCAGCATTAGAGGCCCAGGTTTTGTTCCTGGCACCTTGTTATTGACTTCAACCTGGTCTAGTCCCAGCTGTTGCAGGCATTTTTGGGAATGAACCAGTGGGTAGAACATCTGTCTCTTTTTCTCTGTGTTTCTCTGCTTTTCAAACAACAACAACAATCTATGGCCAGCATTGTGGTGCAGAGGGCTAACCTGCCTCCTGCAGTGCCAGCATGCCATATTGGAACACCAGTTCAAGTCCTAGTTGCTCTGCTCCAGAGCCAGCTCCTTGCTAATGTACCTGGGAAAGCAGCAGAAGATGGCCCAAGTTGTGGGGGACCTGGATGGAGTTCCTGGCTGCTGGCTTCAGTCTTGCCCAGCCGCAGCCATTTGGCAAGTGCAATGGAAAATCTCTTTCTCTCTTCCTCTCCATCACTCTGCCTTTCAAATAAATCTTTTTTTTTTTTTTTTTTTTTGACAGAGTGGACAGTGAGAGAGACAGAAAGGTCTTCCTTTGCCGTTGGTTCACCCTCCAATGGCCACTGCGGCTGGTGCACTGCGGCCGGCGCACTGCACTGATCCGATGGCAGGAGCCAGGTGCTTCTCCTGGTCTCCCATGGGGTGCAGGGCCCAAGCACTTGGGCCATCCTCCACTGCACTTCCCTGGCCACAGCAGAGAGCTGGCCTGGAAGAGGGGCAACCGGGACAGAATCCGGCACCCCGACCGGGACTAGAACCTGGTGTGCCGGCGCCGCAAGGCGGAGGATTAGCCTAGTGAGCCATGGCGCCGGCCTCAAATCTTTAAAATAAAAAAGTGGGGCCAGCGTTGTGGCATAGCAATTAAACCTGCTGCCTATGATGCCAGCATCCCATATAAGCACTGGTTGGTGTCCTGGCTACTCCACTTCCAATCCAGCTCCCTGCTCATGACCTAGGACAAGCATCAGAAGATGGCCCAAGTGTTTGGGCCCCTGCCACCCATGTAGGAGACCTGGATGGAGTTCCAGGCTCCTGGCTTCTGCCTGGCCCAGCCCTGGCCATTGTAACCATTTGGGGAATGAATCAGTGGATGGAAGCATCTCTGTAACTCTGATTTTCATATAAACAAATAAGAAAAAAAAAGAGTCTATGGTCACGCCAAACTGTGTACCTGGTCTCATCTCAGAAGGTGAGCAGGGTCTGGGCCTGGTGGTTTTCTTGGGTGGGAAACTTGTGCCTGGCAAGAAGTAGGCTGTGATACTGCGGTATAACAAATATGCATGGTCCCTTCTTGTTCCTGGCACAAATCTCCAAGAAACTTTGTAATGTCCTGAGTGATTAGACTGATAGGAACTTTAGAGTATGTGGTCTTAGTCCCTGGTTCCTGACACACATGCCTCTAAGACCCTTGAAATCTTTATATATATATATATATAAATTATATATATATATATAAATTATATATATATTATTTTTTTTTGACAGGCAGAGTTAGGCAGTGAGAGAGAGAAAGAGAAAGGTCTTCCTTTACTGTTGCTTCACCCTCCAGTGGCTGCTGCGGCCGGCGCACCATGCCAATCCGAAGCCAGGAGCCAGGTGCTTCTCCTGGTCTCGCATGCAGGTGCAGGGCCCAAGCACTTGGGCCATCCTCCACTGCACTCCCTGGCCACAGCAGAGAGCTGGCCTGGAAGAGGGGCAACCAGGACAGAATCCGGCGCCCTGACCAGGACTAGAACCCGGTGTGCCGGCGCCGCAGGCGGAGGATTAGCCTATTGAGCCGTGGCGCCGGCCTGACCCTTGAAATCTTGCTACCAAAAGACCGAGGCATGATCAGAGAGCTGGAAGGTTCAGCCCCGCCCCTCGAACTTCAGCGTGACTTTCATCACCAGTAACTTACCTGTGGTTCAAAGAATCAGGCCCACGAGATGGAGGCTCCATAAAAGAGTCCTAAGCCTCAAGGTGTGGAGGGCTGCTGGGTTGATGCAGCCCCAACTCCGTGGGGACAGAGCCCCTACAACTGGCAGTTACCCACCCCTTTATAATACTCCTTATATCAAAGCAATAAAGACAAGGAGCCACTGGTAGCCAATTATCAAGCTGGGGTGGGGGGTGTTGTGAGAGCACCTGGTTTGTAGCCGAGTCAGAGGGGAGTGTGGGTGTTCTGAGGACCTGATGCCATGGTTGCTATCTGAAGTGGGGCACAGACTTGGGGAGCTGAGCCCCTGCTCTGTGGGGGCTGCACTGACTCTGGGATGTGTAGGAATTGAGTCCACTGTGGGACACCGGGTTGATGTCAACTGAGCGTGTGAAAAACCCATGTCTGAAGCATTTTAAGTGAAAAAATGGTTTTTCTTTTTTTTAGGATCCAGGTAAATTTAGTTTTATCTGTAGTAATTACACAATATAATTGATGTGATTTTTAAACATATAAACCCGGCCGGCGCCGCGGCTCACTAGGCTAATCCTCTGCCTGTGGTGCTGGCACACCGGGTTCTAGTCCCGGTCGGGGCGCTGGATTCTGTCCCAGTTGCCCCTCTTCCAGGCCAGCTCTCTGCTGTGGCCCGGGAGTGCAGTGGAGGATGGCCCAGGTCCTTGGGCCCCTGCACCCACATGGGAGACCAGGAGAAGCACCTGGCTCCTGGCTTCGGATCAGCACGGTGCGCTGGCCGCAGCGGCCATTGGGGGGTGAAACAAGGGTAAAGGAAGACCTTTCTCTCTGTCTCTCTCTCTCACTGTCCACTCTGCCTGTCAAAAAAAAAAAAAAAAAAAGAAACTTCAACGGGGCCAGCGCTGTGGCTCAGTGGGTTAACAACCTGGCCTGGGGCGCCGGCAGCCCATATGGGTGCCGGTTCTGGTCCCGGCTGCTCTTCTTCCGATCCAGCTCTCTGCTATGACCTGGGATAGCAGTGGGGGTTGGCCCAAGTCCTTGGGCCCCTGCAGCCACATGGGAGACCTGGAGGAGGCTCCTGGCTCCTGGCTTTGGATGGGCGCAGCTCCGGCCATTGCGGCCATCTGGGGAGTGAACCATCGAATGAAAGACCTCTCTCTCTGTCTCTACCTCCCTCTGCAATTCTGTCTTTCAAATAAATAAAAATAAATCTTTATATAAAAAAGAAAATTCAGCAATTCAATACATCTTAACAAATGTTTATTGTCATATATGTCTGTCATAGTGTTGGGTACGTTTCAATTATACTTATCAATTATAGATGTGAATTTCTTCAAAGTAAGAAGACTTCAGAAGAAATTATCCAGTATATTCAAAGCTACGAGGGAATTGTTGACATGACGGTAATTTGTAACAACAAAATGTTTTCTCAAGTTGTATTTTGATTACCAAATAATACGTGAATCAGAAGGGGACGACCTCCTTTTTCAGCCATGGGTTCTGTTTGTTTCTCTCCTTCACATTTTATTCCCCTGCCTCTCTTCTGCAGAGTTAAAAAAAAAAATCCCACTCTCTTTTTGAACTGGACTCCTTAGAATTTCTTTGTCCAGAGCTGGCATTTGATTGGTTCCGCCTGCCTTCCTTGTAATCTTGCTCTCTTTGACAGAGGTCATCTCCCAGCTTCCCTTGGCTGCCACCATCTGAGGATCTGCTGACCTGGCACCACCATGCACAGAGGGCCTCAGAGGTGGCTCTGAGATAGGCAGAGAGCAGAGAGGGCACCCATGCACAGATGCCACACAGCCTGAGCTGCGTCTGGCTACGAGTCGGGACCCCAACCCAGGTCTCCCACATGGGTGTCAGGAATCCAATTACTTGAGCTGTTGCTACTGCATTAGTAGTTAGATGGAGTCAAGAGCCAGCAATAGGAAAGCAATTCAGGTACTCCAGTATTAACCACGAGGCTAAATGCCCACTCCCCAGTTATTTATCTTTTATTGGTAAGGATTTCCTAGCGGCAAGTGATGGAACACCCAACCCAAACTGACTTAAGGAGAAAGAGAGAATGTATTGGCTGACAGGACCCAGAAGACCAGAACCCTGTCAAGAACAGGGCGTGAGGGGGGCAGGGAGGGGTTTCCTGGGAAAGCGATGGATGCGGTTATCCGAGTTGCACCTGGCGTCCTTCTGGGCTGAGGGTCCTCCCTTTGTCTCCTCCTTCCTCGTTAGTCAAAGCGCATGGGTGGTGTCTAAGTGCAGCTCCACTTCTCAGCTGGGTCTCTGGCAAACGTGACCACGAGACGGTTTCCTGTTGGTCATGGTAAACATGCGTGGGGGTTGCTGTGGTTATTTTGCACTGAGAGAAAACAGTTCCAGCAGCGATAGAAATCAGAACTACGGGAATGGCTCTCCGGCAACCTTGTTCCTCCCTCCATGTGGGGGGAGGAGGTTCTCTCAGTTCTTGCTCGTAGAAAGGCGAATGCTTTAATAAGTCAGACATTTCATTACTTTCAAAAAGTTCTTTCAGGGAGAACATTTTTTGAAGTCCTGGGTGCAAAGAGAATTGCCACTGCCATCAGTCAGTTCAGACAAATTCAAAGCTTTTGCTTGTCTGTTTCTTCTTCTGTTTTGGTTTGGTTTTTTGGTCCCTATCTTTACTTTTTAACCTGTCCACATCCATTTTCTGTCTCATTGTACAGTGTCATAACTCTTTAAAAACCATTATTGAAGGATTTCTGGTCTTGTGGTGTGCCGAATTTTCTAGTATGGATGGCCATAGGAAAACGTTGGGTAGTATTGGTTCCTGGACTTGACCCTTCTGTTCAAACAACTAAAATTTCTGGAGACTGTGACACTGTGGGTAAAGCCGCCACCTGCAGTGCCGGCATCCCATATGGGCGTTGGCTTGAGTCCCGGCTGCTCTACTTCCAACCCAGCTCTCTGCTGTGGCCTGGGAAAGCAGTGGAGGATGGCCCAGGTCCTTGGGCCCCTGCACTGTGTGGGAGACCCGGGGGAAGCTCCTGGCTCCTGGCTCCTGGCTTTGGATTGGCCCAGATCTGGACATTGCAGCCATTTGGGGAGTGAACCTAGTAGATGGAAGATCTGTCTCTCTCTCTCTCTCTGCCTCTGCCTCTGCCTCTCTGTAACTCTGCCTTTCAAATAAATAAATAAAACTCTTAAAAATTCTGGATAAAATGTTTTTGAAAAAACTCTTAAACAGCTGAGTGTGCTATAAGGAAGTAAAGGCGGGTTCACATATGAAATGACAGCCAGAACCCAGGGATTACACGGAACACTAAAGGACGCCTTCTCGTTTAGGGAATTTGTAAAACCAAGTTAATGCAAGTTTAGTTTTCAAGTCCTCATGGCAGACAAGACTGGGGTGAGGTCCAGGGCCAGAGTGGCCATCCCGGAAACCAAGAAATTAACCTGCCTGTGCTTAGGGAGCCACAAGGAAGGCAGCTGTCCTCAAATCTTTTTGTTTGTTTGCTTGTTTTAGTTTCTTTCAAAAAAAGAGATTTATGGGGCTGGCTCTGTGGTGCGGTGTGTTAACGCCCTGGCCTGAAGCGCCGGCATCCCATACGGGCTCTGGTTCAAGACTCGGCTGCTCCACTTCCAATCCAGCTCTCTGCTGTGGCCTGGGAAAGCAGTAGAAGATGGCCCAAGTCCTTGGGCCCCTGCACCCGTGTGGGAGACCCAGAAGAAGCTCCTGGCTGTTGGCTTCGGATCAGCTCAGCTCTGGCTGTTGTGGCCAGTTGGGGAGTGAACCTGTGGATGGAAGACCTCTCTCTCTCTCTCTGCCTCTCCTCTCTCTGTGTAACTCTGACTCTCAAATAAATAAATCTTTAAAAAAAGAGAGAGATTTATTTAGCCATTTGAAAGGCAGAGTTACAGAGAGGAGAGACAGAAGATCTTCCATATACGGGCTCACTCCCCAGATGGTTGCAATGTCCAGGGCTGGGCCAGGCAGAAGCTGGGAGCCAGGAGTCAGGAGCTTCTTTCAGGTCTCCCACGTGGGTGCAGGGGCTGAAGGAGTTGGGCCATCTTCCACTGCTTTCCCAGGCCATGAGCAGGCAGCTGGATTGAAAGTGGAACAGTCGGGACCCCAACAGGTGCCCATGTGGGAAGCCGGCACTACAGGCATGAGCCTAAGTCATTACAGTGCTGGCCAGTCTTCAATTTTTTTTTTTTTTTTTTGACAGGCATAGTTAGACAGTGAGAGAGAGCGAGGAGAGAGACAGAGAGAAAAGTCTTCCTTTTTCCATTGGTTCACCCCCAAAGTGGCCACTACGGCTGGTGTGTGTGGCCAGCGCGTTGTGCCGATCCGAAGCCAGGAGCCAGGTGCTCCTCCTGGTCTCCCATGGGGTGCAGGGCCCAAGGACCTGGGTCATCCTCCACTGCACTCCCGGGCCACAGCAGAGAGCTGGACTGGAAGAGGGGCAACCGGGACAGAATCCGGTGCCCCGACAGGGACTAGAACCCGGGGTACTGGCGTCGCAGGTGGAGGATTAGCACTGGCCAGTCTTCAAATCTTGACACTGACTTTGGCAGCAGGGGACTCTCCTCTATTTTTTGTTTTTCTTGCTTTCTTTTGATGCTAGATGATAAAGAGATCATTTCAAAACTTGTTTTAGGATAGGCAGTTTTGAACATACACAACAATAAGACCACCGTCCACGCTCACCGCAAGTCCAGCAGGTGGTCCGTGTTGTCCTCTGTATGTCTCTTCCTTCACTTCTCACCCTGCCTGAGTTGCCCTGAAGCCCACTCCTCCCGCGAGCTGAGATCCTTCCACCGAACACAGGAAGGGCTGGGTCCTAGGGCCCGCTGGACTCAACTAGCGCCTTCTCTTCCAGCTTATGGCAATGACAGCGTCTTTGCTAATGAAGACCTCCGGCGGGATTCCTTTAAGAACTGGCCCCACAAGTCACCTGTGGGGGCTGCGGCTCTGGCCCGAGCGGGTCTTTTCTACACAGGTGAGTCCACGCAGTGTGCTCCTCGCTTGCTCGACCTCACGCCCCACACAGACTGTGCCATCACGAGCTGCCCTCTCCCCCACACAGCGGCGTCCGCTCTTCTCACGGCTCCTGCAGGATCCTTTCTTTTTGCTGCTTCCTCTCCCGGTTTTCTACACCTGTCACAGGTGGTGGAGCTCAGGACTTGAAAGCCTAAAGTTTGGACCGACAGTGAGTGTGTGTCTTCGGTTGGGGATGTTTATCACATCTTTCCCTTTCTACACATTGATCTTCTCCCACCCCCAGGAAAGCTCCCGGAAACTATCACAGGGCACTGCTTATATTTCTTTACTTTATTTAAATTTTTTTATTTATTTGAAATGCACAGTTACAGAGAGGGAGGGAGGGAGGGGAGGGGAGAGAGAGAGAGAATTCACTCCTCAAATGGCTGCATTGGTCAAGGATGTGCCAGGCCTAGCCAGAAGCTGGAACTCCACCTGGGCCTCTCATGTGGGTGCAGAGGACCAAGAGCTCAGGCCTTCCCAGGCACATTAGGGAGTTGGATGGGAAGGGAAGCGGCTGGGACTGGAAACAGTGCTGTGAACCTGCTGCACGGTGACCACCGGTGTTCCTAGCTCTCTAATCGTACCATCGTCTCATGGGCACATCTAGCTGAAAGAAGAGTGGGGAGCCTAACCAGTTTCCTGGGCGGGGAACTGCCCAGCTGTGAGAGGCTGAGAAACAGCGTGGCCATGGTGGCGGTCTTTGCCACGCTCTGTTTGGTGGAGCGAATCAGGACCGTGCATTCTCATGGTTCCAAAGCACGCGGAGTCCTTGGGAAACTATGCCCTCTCATCTGCCAGATCATCTCAGTCCCTTCAGCGAGATCTCTGCCTGGGGCACAGCAAGGTGAGCACAGGGAGGGAGCTGTGCCGTTCCCGGGTGCCCTGAGGGCTTTCCTCCGAGCACGCACGCACACACACACACGCACGCACACACACACACGAGCTAGAGACATGGTTCGTCAGCTGAGAAGCCAAGCAGCCACCACAGAGCAGCCACGAACAGAGGCACACACTTGTCACTTTCTCTAACACACACAACCCACTGGCACAAAAAAATTTTTTTAAGACTTTATTTATGTGAGAGGTGGAGTTACAGAGAGGGAGAGACAGAGAAAGAGGTCTTCCATTCACTGCTTCACTCCCCAGATGGCTGCAACAGCCAGAGCTGGGCCGATCCTAAGCCAGGAACCAGGAGCTTCCTCCAGGTCTTTCATGCAGTTACGAGGGGCCCAAGCACTTAGGCCGTCTTCCACTGCTTTCCCAGGCCTGAGCAGAGAGCTGGATCAGAAGTGGAACAGCCGGGACTAGAACCGGTGCCTGTATGAGATGCCTGCGCTGCAGGCACAAAAGCTCCTAATGTCTCACAGTCTTTATTATTTTATTTTATTTTATTTTATTTATTTATTTTTTGACAGGCAGAGTGGACAGTGAGAGAGACAGAGAGAAAGGTCTTCCTTTTGCCGTTGGTTCACCCTCCAATGGCCGCCGCAGCCAGCGCCCTGCAGCCGGCGCACCGCGCTGATCCGAAGGCAGGAGCCAGGTGCTTCTCCTGGTCTCCCATGGGGTGCGGGGCCCGAGCACCTGGGCCATCCTCCACTGCACTCCCTGGCCACAGCAGAGAGCTGGCCTGGAAGAGGGGCAACCGGGACAGAACCCGGCGCCCCGACTGGGACTAGAACCCGGTGTGCCGGCGCCGCAAGGTGGAGGATTAGCCTGTTGAGCCGCAGTGCCGGCCTGTCTCACAGTCTTAAGGCTCAGAAGAGAGTGCCCTGGGGTGGGTGTTGTAGCACAGCAGCCTAATCCAGTGTTGCAGCACTGGCATCTCACATCAGAGTGCTAGTTCATGTCCCGGCTCTCTCTTTCCAATCCAGCTCCCTGCCATGTGCCCGGGAAAGCAACAGTGATAGCCCAAGTACTTAGGCCATGTGGGAGACCCAGATAGAGTTTCGGCTCCTGGCTTCAGTCTGGCCCAGTTGCAGCTGTTATGGCCATTTAGGGAGTAAGCCAGCAGATTACAAATTTTCTCTCTGTCAGCCTGTCAAATAAAAGAATACTGCTTCCCTGGTGACTCAGCCAGTGACTTTGTCACAAAATCCAATTGGAGATGTGAGTAAGGTTGCAGTGATACAGGTCTGGTAGTTATCACCTGCTTGTCACTTGCTGAAGGCACATGCTGGTGGCACCGAGGACACTGCGCTCCTCCCAGGTAGAGAAGACGTCGTCCAGTGGTCTTCTGTGGAGGATGTCTTACGTTACCATGGTACCTTTGTTGGAGTTCAGAGGTGCTGCCCTGGTACCTTTCTGTTAACCAAATTCCAGCCTTTATTTGGATTTCACCAGTTTTTCCTTTTTTGTGTTTTGGGATCTGTAAGTGGAGGAATTTTCTTCTCTCTCTCTTGATTCTTTAAGTTCATCTTTATTGTTTTCATAGATGAGCATTAAATATGTACTCATTCCACCAAATTTCCTAGATATCCTCACCATCACTTCATGAACCGTTTACTATGGCCGAGAGCCACAGAGAACCGCTGGACATGTTAGTTTTATACTTAATCTCTGCCCCCTGGCTGGGTGCGGGGGCCCAAGGACTTGGGCCATCTTCTACTGCTTTCCGAGGCCAGAGCAGAGAGCTGGATTGGAAGTGGAGCAGCCGGGACTCGAACTGGCGCCCACAGGGGATGCCAGCACTGCAGGCAGCAGCTTTACCCGCTACGCCCCAGCGCCGGTGCCCTAGACAGTGTTTTATCTCCACGTCCTTGGAGACCGGATTCACTGACAGCAGTGGACAGACGAGGTGCCCTCCCTGCGTGAAAGGGCCCTCGTTGGGATGCGCTTTGCTCTCGTCTGCTTTGTTGAACTTTCTTCTGCTTTTATGGCTTCTGACTTCCAGCAGTGTCTGTTCCTGAGTAAATGAGTCCAAGTTTGGAAAGTTTTGATGGAAACATTTTCTTTTCTCAAAGTGATCAATTAGAACATTCCCTTCTTGACACTGCTCCATTTATCATATGCCAAAGTATGTAGTTTGGGGGTGGTGGGTTCTATGAGTTTCACATTGACCGCATTTCAGCTCTTACGTATGCTCTGTGAGCTATTTTCCACTTCCTGTTTGGCTCCCTGTGCAGTGTTTGGCCAGGCTGCTCTGCGCCTCCGTGCAGTATCTACTCCATGTTGTCATGCTGTCCTCTCTCTCTCTTGCCTTGTGGGCCCTGTAGGTCCCAGCATGCGCCATGTGTTCCTTCTGTTCTTTTTTTCCCCCAAAGAAACCTTTTATTTAAGGAATACAAACTTCATGCATTTCCTAAGTACAACATTAGGAATATAGTGATTCTTCCCACCATACCCGCCCTCCCACCCTCCACCTCCTCCTCCACCTCCACCTCCTCCCTCTCCCATTACCAGTCCCATTCTCTACTAAGATCCATTTTCGATTAACTTTTTAGACAGAAGACCAACTCTATACTAAGTAAAGAGTTCAACAGTTTGCACAAAAATAAAACAGCACTGTTGCTCAAACAGTCAAGAGGGGCTGTTCACATCTTCCACTTAATACACTAAAATGAAATACATCTTTGAGAACAAGTTTTACTGTTAACTCTCATAACACAACTCTTTGAGGACAGAGGTCCTGCATGGGACGCCAGCGCACCTTGACTCCTATTGTCAATTTAACAATTAACAGGGCCGGTGCTGTGGCGTTGCGGGTAAAGCCGCCATCTGCAGTGCCAGCATTCCATGTTGGGCGCCAGTTCGAGACCCGGCTGCTCCACTTCTGATCCGGCTCTCTGCTATGGCCTGGGATAGCAGTAGAAGATGGCTCAAGTCCGTAGGCCCCTGCACCCATGTGGGAGACCTGGAAGAAGCTCTTGGCTTCGGATCGGCCCAGTTCTGGCTATTGCAGCCATTTGGGGAGTGAATCAGCAGATGGAAGATCTCCCTCTCTCTCTGCCTCTGCCTCTTTGTAACTCCACCTTTCAAATAAATAAATAAATATTTTTTAAAAAAAGCAATTAACACTCCTATGTATGACATCAGTGACCAAGGCTCTTGACATGAGTTGCCCAGGCTATGGAAGCCCTTTGAATTCACAAACTCTGTCAGTATCCAGACAAGTTCTTTCTGTTCTTGATGGGACCTTATGCTTTTTTTTTTTTTTTTTTTAAGTTAGAGTTAGAGAAGTACAGGCAGAGAGAACAGAGAGAGAGCGAGAGAGAGAGATCATCATTGGCTGGTTCACTCCCCAGATGGCTGCAATGGCCAGGGCTGGGCCAGGCTGGAGCTAGGAGCCAGTTTCATCCAGTTCTCCCACATGGGTGCAGGGGCCCACACACTTGTGCCTCTTTCGCTGCTTTCCCCAGGCCATTAGCAGGGAACTGGATGGGAAGTGGAGCAGCCAGGACATGAACAGGTGTCCATGTGGGATGCCAGTGTTGCAGGCAGCAACTTAACCTGCTTGGCTACAACACTGGCTCCAAGGACCTTAGGGTTTTTCCTCCCATATTTTAACTTTTTGTTTTAAAATTAAACATTTATTTATTTGAAAACAGCATCAGAGAGAGAGAGAGAGAGAGAGAGACAGAAATATTTTCTATCTCATTTTCCAAATGGCCAAAAGGTTGCAATAGCTAGGGCTGGGCCAGGCTTAAGCCAGGAGCTAGAACTCCATCCTGATCTCCCACTTGTGCGGCAAGGTTCCAAGTACTTGGGCCTTCTTCCATGGCCTTCCCAGGCACCTAAACAGGAAGCTGGGTCAGAAGTGGGGCAGCCAGGACTTGAATCGACACTCCGATATGGGATGCCATTGTTACAAGTGGCAGCTTAACCCACTATGCCACATTGCTTGTCCCGTATTTTAACTTTGTGAATACAGCTTTTGATTGCAAAACCCATGCTCTAATGAAGCCTTTTGTCATTTTATTTTGTTCACATGTAACGAGGCATCATCTCGTTGTTTTATGGTTTCTCAGCCTATCTGCTGAGGCAGCATCACTTTTGTTTTCAGTAAATGAAAGAAAAACATTTCTCCCCACTAAGTACTTAGAAAGAAGAAGAGCGTGAGTGTTCAGCCATTCTCTGAGTTGAGCTAAGTACGTGATTTATATTTTGTCTTGCTTCATGGTTTAGCTCAGACTTAGCATTTTATATCTTTAGTTGTTTGGTGAGTTGATTTTTTATTTTTCGTTAAATGGTTGTTTATTTGAGAGGCAGAATCTCTCTCTCTCTCTCTCCTTCCTCCCCCCCCTTCCTCCTTCCCTCTCTCTCTCTCACACACACACACACACACGCGCGCGTACACACATCTTCCATCTGCTGATATACTCAAATGACTGCAATAGTGGGGCTGGCAGAGGCCTCAGGAGCCCAGAATTCCATGTAGGTCTCCCGTGGGGGTGGCAGGAATCCGAGTGCTTGAGCCATCATCTGCTGCTTGCAAGGTTGGGCATTAGCAGGAGGCCAGATCAGAGCAGAAGTGGGGCTTTTACCCAGGTCCCGAGTGGTGGTTTAACCTGCTTTGCCACAACCCCCATCCCTACAGGGTTGTTTTACTTGATATAATTTCAGACATGAAATTTTGATCCCATAAAGAGAGTTTCTATCGAAACAGATGGTTCTGATTTTTTCCAGGTGTAAGGAATTCCTTTGCTATACAGCACAATGGATTATGTCGAGACTACTAAGAACACACGAATATTTAAAATTATCCATATGGCTGCGGGTCAGCTCCTGCAAACTGCTGGCAAACATGAAAATAATTCACATCCATTTTGATGAATTCTTTCTCAGAAGCAGATGAACTGTTGCCAGAATTAAAGCAGGAAGGAGGATTTCAGTGCTCTGGGGTGTGGGAGGTGATGACAGACAGCAGTGTGCAACGTGTGGACGGTCTGTGCCTCCACAGCCGGAGCAGGGGGCAAAGCGGGATCGACACATTTTTGTTTCAGCTTTCATTCCTTTGTTCAGAAAAACCAATTTCTTTTCTAAAGAGCTAGAGATACTTCTTAGTGCCGGCTGATACTAACATAAATAAATACTATATACAAAAAATGTACTATGTGGAGATGTTTTAACATAATGCTTAAAGGTACTAATGGTAGATCATGAAAGCCACACATTTAAAAAATTATGGTATATATATTTTTAAAATATTTTTATTTATTTACTTGACAGGTAGAATTACAGACAGTGAGAGAGACAGAGAGAGAGGTCTTCCTTCTGTTGGTTCACATTCCCAAATGGCCGCCTTGGCTGGAGCTACGCCAATCTGATGCCAGGAACCAGGTGCCTCTCGCTGGTCTCCCATGCGGGTGCAGGGCCCAAGCACCTGGGCCATCCTCCACTGCTTTTCCAGGGCACAGCAGAGAGCTGGACTGGAAGAGGAGCAACCGGGACTAGAAACGGTGCCCATATGGGATGCCGGTGCTACAGGCAGAGGATTAACCTAGTGTGCCATGGCACTGGCCCCAAAAACTGTGGTCTAATTTACACAAAGAATAATTCCATCTTTTTAGTTTACAATGCTGAGTTTTGACAATTTGTGTGTGCGCACCTAACTATGACCACAGTCAAGACACAGAAAAATTCCCTCACCCGCAAGATCCCCTCGTGTCCCTTTGCAGTAGCCTTTTGCCTACTCCTGCTTCCTGGCGACCACCGGTGTGGTTTCCATCGCCGCCGTGATGCAGCGGCTTAACCTGCATTTGCAGTGTCGCCCTTGGGTCCGGCTTCTTCCACTTAGAGTTCTGCCTTGGAGATTCACCCATGCTGTTGTGTGTTTAGTACTTTTCGTCCCTGAGTGTGGGTCCGTCGTGTGGATGTCCCTGTCTTTGTTTACCCAGTTGTCCCCACCCAGCCCTCTCTGCTCCCTCTGACACTCACTGCCACCATCGCCATCAGCCGCTCGCCTCGTGGTCCTCCCCAGACCTGAGTCAGTGTGGATCCATGCCCTTGAGCCTACAGAACTGTGAACGGAATAAACCTTTTCACTTGGCAAAGTTAGCTGCTTCAGGTACTTTGTGCTAGTTCCTCATCTGGGTTTCATTTTGCATTTTCCTCATGGTGTGCGGTGTGTGTCATCTTTCCACGTACGTGTTTGCTGCCTGCAGGTCTTCTTTCATGAAACATGACTTTTTTTTGCCAATATTTTCTTCTACTCTTGACTTTTCACTTGTTCACTGTGTCTTTTGCAAAGCAGAGGCTTTAAATTTTGCTGAAGTCCAATTTGTTTTTTTTTTTTAAAGATTTATTTTATTTATTTGAAAACCAGAGTTAACAGAGAGAAATAGAGCCAGAGAGAGAGAGAGAGAGAGAGAGAGAGGTCTTCCATCCGCTGGTTCACTCCCCAGATGGCCGCAATGGCCAGAACTGTGCCGATCCAAAGCCAGGAGTCAGGAGCTTCTTCCAGGTCTCCCATGTGGGTACAGGGGCCCAAGGACTTGGGTCATCTTCCTCTGCTTTCCCAGGATGTAGCAGAGAGCTGGATCAGAAGAGGAGCAGCCGGGACTAGAACCGGTACCCATATGGGATGCTGGCACTTCAGGCCAGGGCCTTAACCCACTGTGCCATAGCACCAGCCCCTGAAGTCCAATTTAAAAAACCTTCCTTTCATGAGTTGTGCTTTGGTATTTTATCTCAGAAGTTTTCCCCAATGCCATAAAGATTCTCTTCTGTGTTTAATTCTAGATATTTTATGATTTTAGATCTTCTATTTATTTGAAAGGTAGAGTAACAGAGAAATGGAGAGAGAGAGAGAGAGAGAAACTTCCAACCATTGGTTGACTTCCCAAATGGCTGCAATGGCCAGCCCAAAGCCAGGAACTCAGAAGCGCCAGCCTGGTCTCCCCCATGGGTGGCAGGGGCCCAGGTCGTTGACCCGCCTTCCACTGCCTTCCCGGGCACATTAGAGAGGAGATGGGTTGGAAGCAGGGCAGCGTGGCATAAACCGGTGCTCTGATTCCGGATGCTGGCATTCCAAGTGGTGGCTTACCCCACTGAGCCACAGTGCTGGCCCCCGGTTACATTTTGTTTATGGAGTAAGATACGGAGATATGGAAAAGTTTATTTCTTTGCCTGTGGCTATCGAGTGGTTCCAAACATGTTTGTTGAGAAGGCTGACCTTTCTCTGTTGAATTACCATTGTATCTGTGTAGAAAGAACAAATATGAGTCTATTTCTGGACTATATATTTTGTTCCATTGATTTCTGTGTCTGTTCAATACTATGCAGGCTTACGCATCACGGCTTTATGGTGGAGTCTTGAAACTGGATGGTGAGTCTCTAACTTTTTTCTTCTTAGAAACTGTTTTGGCTGCTGCGGTTCCTTTGCCCTTCCATACACACTTTAGAATCATCGTGTCAGTTTCTACCCAGAAGTCTGCTGGGATTGTAGAAGGGTCTACATTAAATCTGTAGATTAAATCGAGAGAATTGGTATTTTAACAGTATTGAGTCTTCTAATCCATGAGCATGGTGTATCTCACTTTTATTGACGTCCTTAATTTTTTTAAAATCAGGTTTTTATAGTTTTCAGCGTCCAAATCTTGCACACATTTTGTTGGACCTAACAGTTTATTGTGAATAGGATTTTCTGTGTATCATCTAGTCTGGATGTTTGCATTTCTTTTTCTTGTCTGATTGCCCTGGCAGGAACCTCCTGTATAATGTTGACTAGAAGTGGGGAATGGATGTTCTTGTTCTGTGCTTGATCTTAGAGGGAACGCTTTCAGGTTTTCAGCATTAAGCGTAGTATTTCTATCTCTGTCTCTCTGTTTTTGTAGATACCCTGTATCAGGATGGGAAAGTTTTCTTCTGTTCCTAGAGTGTTGGGAGTTGTTACCATGAAAGAGTCTTAGAATTTGTCAAAATTCCTTATGTATATTGAAATGTTTGGGGCTGGCACTGTGGCGTAGTGAGTAAAGCTGCCACCTGCAGTGCCGGCATCCCATATGGGCACCAGTTCAAGTCCTGGCAGCTCCACTTCTGATCCAGCTCTCTGCTATGGTCTGGGAAAGCAGTAGAAGATGGACCAACTTCTTGGGACCCTGCAACAGAGTGGGAGACCTGGAAGAAGCTGCTGGCTCCTGGATCAGCACAGCTGCGGCCATTGCAGCCAATTGGGAAGTGAACTGGCGAATGGAAGACCTCTCTGTTTCTCTCTCTCTGCTTCTCCTTCTCTCTCTGTGTAACTCTGACTTTCAAGTAAATAAATCTTTAAAAAAAGAGAGAAATATTTATATAGTCTCTTTTCTTTTGTTAATATAGGGCATTCCACTGACCAATTTTTGTTTATCGAATCAACCTTGTGTTATTGGACTAGGTCTCAGTTGGTTAGGATTCGGTTTTGCAGTATTTTATTCAGAGTTTGTGTCTACGAAGGCACATCCTAAGGGGTACTGAGGTTTTCTTTTCTCTTGAAGTCTTTTTTCTGGGTTGGGGTTAAGGTCATACTGGACCCCTATAGTGAGTTGGAAAATGTTCTTTCCTCCTTGGTTTTTCTTGAAATTTATTTTACACTGTTCGTGAAAGATTGATGTTAATTCTTCTTTAAACACTTAGTAAAACTCACTAATGAAACTATTGGGTTACCTGACTTCTTTTTTTCTTTTAAGATTTATTTATTTATTTGAGTTACAGAGAGGCAGGGAGAGAGAGAGAGAGAAAGAGAGACAGAGAGAGAGAATCCTCCATCTGCTGGTTTACTCCCCAGATGGCTGCAATGGCCAGAGCTGCACCTATTGAAGCCAGGAGCCAGGAACCTCCTCCTGGTCTCACACACGGGTGCAGGGGCCCAAGGACTGGGCCATCCTCCACTGCCTTCCCAGGCCATAGCAGAGAGCTGGATCAGAAGTGGAGCAGCCAGGACTAGAACTGGTGCCCATATGGGATGCCTGCACTCCAGGCAGCGGCTTTACCTGCTATGCCACGGTGCCGCCCCCTTGATGTAATTTCAAACTTATAGAAGAGAACAAGTAATTACTGTACACTTTCATCCAGATTCACTGATTGTTGGGATCTTTGTTCACTTTCTTCATGAACATTTTTTTCAAGAAATGAAAATCAGTGTTTACTTTTACATGCACTGAGGACCAACGCGTTAGAAGATTGCCTGTCTGGGTGACCAGCGTTGTGGTGTGGTAGGTTGAGCCACTGCCTACAATGCCGGCATTCCATCTGGGCACCAGTTTGAGTCCTGGCTGTTTCACGTCCGAGCCAACTGCCTGCTAACGCACATGGGAAGGCAGAACAGGGCCCAGAGGCTTGCGTCCCAACTCGGAAGCAGCTCCTGGTCCTCTCTTCGGCCTGGCCCAGCCCCCGTCATTGCAGCCATTTGGGGAATGAACCAGCAGATGGAAGATCTCTCTCTCTGTCTCTCTCTCTGTGTCCCTCTCTCTCTCTCTGTTTCTTTCTCTCTCTCCCTCCCTCTCTGTAACTCTGCCTTTCAAATAAAATAAATAAATCTTATTTTAAAGAAAGAAGTTTATGTCTCAGTTTGCTTATCATCTTAATGATTTACTTATTTAAATATCTTTAAAAATAACTCAGCCCCTTAAAGATCAAATACATCAGTAATTGACTAGTTACAAAATTTGTAGCTTTCTTGGACCATAGATTTATGTTTGATGGGCTCAGTTCTCTTTTAGCTGATTAAAGCCATTAACTGAACAAACCCATGCATTCAGTAGACATTTATTGCACATTCATTATGTGTTAGATTTAGAAGAAAAATGTTGGTATGAAGATAATGTTGTAATTTGCCAGAGAGACTTTAGCTGCAGTATATATGTTCAGTTACACACTGATAGGAGGCAAGGTGATTGTTCATTTGATACTTTTTTTGGTAACTATGATTTTTAACTTGACCACCTTTCAGTCTTATGATTGAGCCTTTTGAAAAACTTGACTGTAGATTTCCACTGATTGGTAGTGTGACAGAACCTAAGAGAAGAGAACACTTCAAGCTTTTGTTCTTTCAGAGTCTGATATAGCTGACATTTCGTTCTTTTCTTGTTAATTCATGTTAAATAAATTATGATTTAGTGAAAGGGGGCTGACCTCAGGATCTTCATTAGTAGCCATTTATTCCTGAGGGAATTGCTGCCATTCAGACCAAGGAAGGGGACATGAACATAAAGTCCTAAGAAATTTGATTAATTGATAATTTGGTGATTTACTTAAGTTTGCCTTATTGTTGTCTAACCTTTTAAAAAAGCCAGCTGCAAAGAGAGTGTTCTTAGAGGAAGAAAAACAAGTATTTTTATCTGCTTTTAAAAGTCAACTGATAGGCCGGCGCCGCGGCTCAGTACGCTAATCCTCCGCCTATGGTGCCGGCACACCGGGTTCTAGTCCCGGTCGGGGCGCCGGATTCTGTCCTGGTTGCCCCTCTTCCAGGCCAGCTCTCTGCTGTGGCCAGGGAGTGCAGTGGAGGATGGCCCAGGTGTTTGGGCCCTGCACCCCATGGGAGACCAGGAGAAGCACCTGGCTCCTGCCATCGGATCAGCGCGGTGCGCTGGCTGCACTGGCCATTGGGGGGTGAACCAACGGCAAAGGAAGACCTTTCTCTCTGTCTCTCTCTCTCAATGTCCACTCTGCCTGTCAAAAAAAAAAAAAAAAAAAGTCAACTGATGTTTAATTTTAATCTTTTGATCTTAATTTTAATAACCCCTAGTTCAGAGAATTCCAAAGTATTCCTCTGAAGGATGTTTTTGGAGGTGAAAAGAAAGGAAATTGTGCTGTGGCAAAGCCAGTGAGAGTTTCACGGTGAAGAATCTGTAGCAATCGGAGTCGTCAGTCACTCTTCAAGGTCTCATTCTTCTTCCTTTGGCCCAGTGACATATTCCGCGAAGGACCATGATTTTGTATAATTAATTCTATGACTATAAATACTGAAAAAAGAGAGGTTATTAAAACTCGGGAGACTTTGGAGTTCTAGTAAAACCATTAAGAAGGAACTAATGTGATAATAAAATGAAAAGCAATCAAAAACTTATCAGCCTAATAAAGAATATTACCAAATATCTCACAGTAATAAAAACCTTTGAAAACGAAACAAAGGGAAAAAAAGCCCCACTAGCTCAGATTAACAGTCTGTTGTGATGGCTTTGGCCTTCATTAAATCAGCTGTGATATCTTGAAGAAGATATTTAATTATCGAGTGATTTGCAACCAGATTCGCAGGAGAGTTGTAGGAAGACTCTCAAGTGTTCCACATCCCCAGCACACACACACACACAGTCCAGCCACCTGCATTTGTGTGTCGCTTGGCACTCAGCTTCGTGCTGTCCAGTTAGAAGTGACTGTCCTCACCGGGCGGGAGCTGCACACCTGCTGCGCTGGAGTCAGGCCAGCCTGCCAAGAGCACGCGGTGTCTTGTCCCCAGGCAGGGAGCCGGCCGCCCAGGAGCGCTCTGTGGCACGTGGCGGTAGGACTGGTCCCCTCCTTCGCTCTTTATAGTCCAGGAGGCTGCAACACTGGAAGTCTGGTTCCTTGCTGCAGAGGACGGGCTCGCTGTCCCCGAGGACGGGTGCTGTTCTGTCTTGTTTCCACACAGAAAGCTCGCGTTTCACAGCCAGCAGCAGTCCTGAGAGGAGCTATTGCAAGTCAGAATCCCAGGACGGCGAGGCCTGCCTCCTGCTCCCCGTGCCCCCGCTCGCCGTGAGACCCCTGACAGACTCGGCACGCTTCTGTCCCTGGTTCTGTGTCTCCTTCCACATCTCCTTCCTCCATGCCCTTCTCCTCCCAGGACCCGCTCTTGTGTTACTTCCGGATGCCTGCTAGAGTCTTAGAACTCTGTCTCAGTGCTTTTGAACTCCCTTTTCCCACAGGCACCTGCTTAGAATTCCCGCAGCAATTAGAAAGCCGGACTGGAACCATAAAGCTGGAATGGACTTGAGGACAAGTTGATAAATCTCTCACGTAAATAAGCGGTAGCCGAGGAAGTGGAATGTCCCAGGTCATAAAAAAGGGGCTGCCCCAGAACGCAGTGGGAGTACTGATGCCCTTGGCCCGGCTGATTGCCTCTGAAGTTGGTGGTAGCCAGTGCTGTGCGCCGTGAAGTCTCCAGCCTGTTGGCAGAGGCGAGTGAGGCCGTGACCAAGATGTGTGAATGTCCATCCTCTTGGAGCCTTGGAAGGCAGTTCAGGGCTGGGCTGGCCATGGAGTTGCTGTCTCAGTCCTACCCTCCCCTTCCGGTTGGCTCTGTCTCCCTTGGGCTGAGAATCGCGGGGGCGGACACATGTCTGCTGTGTCAGCTGCCCCCTCTCAGGTTCCGCCAAGAGGGGCGCGAGATGGTAGCTGCAAGATTGGTGGAGGGAGGGCCCCATTTCTTCCTGCTTCCTGCCGATGGCCTTGCAGCCCAGACCCGTGGGAAGGAACCGATGTTCTGGGCAGTGCTTGTGGGCGTGGTGCGGTCTTTCCGCATGCCCAGACCAGCCTCGCTGGAGCCTCCCTAGCCAGTCACGCCTGGGCCCTCCTCTCCGCTGCCCAGGTTCCATAATCCCAGCCCCTTCTCAGCGTTCCCCGCCCCTCAGTGCTGTTGCCTTCTGCTTCGTGTCTCTGGACCGCAGTGTGCCCTTTCTGCAGTTCTTAGGTCATCAGTACTCGGCTGTTAACTTCTTATGTGATGTTTGCTGTCAACATTTGGGGCGTTGTGTTCTCTCTGATGTCTCAGTGCAGTTTTAGAAGAGTGAGCTATGGCATTCCTGCCCCCCGCCGTGTGAGCAGAGCATTCCTATGTATACCGTGTGTTCATTTTAAAAGTTTCTTTGCTGTTTTTTTTCTTGAGACCTTATTTATTTATTTACTTGAAAGAGAGACAGAGAGGAGGAGAGATCTTTCATCCAGTGGTTTACTCCCCAAATGTCCTTAACAGCCAGGGTTAGGCCAGACAGAAGCCGGGAGCCAGGGAGTCCATCCTGGCCTGCCACATGGGTGGTAGGGACCCACGCACTTGGGTCATCGTCCACTGCCTCTCAGAATGGGATGTGGGTGTCCCAAGCAGTGGCCTGGCCTGCTGTGCCACGATGCTTCCCTGAGAAATGACATTTAAAGCATAAAGCTGCTCACTCTCGCTTTCACAATAATGGCGTCTTTCCCGTGTCCCGAGCAGACCCTGGGTGCTGGACTCCAGTCAGTGTTTACTGTTGCCGTGGAATAGCAGCGTAGCCACAGAGCAGCGTGTACGGTTGACTTACCTTTGACT